TTTTTATCCGCATAAAACCATTGTTCTATTGAAACGAAGTACTGCCCTGTCCTGTCCCCTTACAGTAAGCCACAATCAAGAATGTTGGGAGGTGCATTATTGGACACCTCATTGATGAACAATAAATTCGTACTCAATACTTGGTTAAAGTATTCACTGTTGTACCAGATGAACCTCAAGAATGCTTCTATTGACCACGGCTGACTGTAATTTGGTTACTCTGATGCAAGTTCCTACAAATAAACAAGTGCCCCTCATTCAAGGCACCAACCTACAACGAAAACAGCCAGTTTTCACACACGCTGCCCCAGTGCAGTTACTTACTACGAGCCATTAGTTGCTGCTAATGCTCGCTACAACTCCAGATGATCACAGATTATCCAATTTGACGCAAGCCATAAATGATTGATTATCCCACTGTCTTACAGCTGTAAGCTTCGTGAGATCAGCAAAAACATTATTCCAGGTGCAATCATCTATTATCCGGACGAGTCTGGTCTGTCGAATGTACACGCTGAATACCTATGAGCAAAGCGGTCCAACTTCTCAAGTAGAAAGGTCCACGATTAAGTGGCTCTAGATGGATGATCGTGTACGCCATGATAGCGGGGATGTGCGGAAATGCATTCCGATGAAAATATCTATCCATTCTACTGTTATGAAACATGAAAACGGATGTTCTCGTAGTCACGAGAGTTGTCTGTATTAGTCATCGTCTCCCGTGTGCTTATATCTAACCGATTCAGCCACTCATGTTATCTTTAACGCGCGGCTGGATATTGAACCCGTTGGCAAGAAAATTAAAGCATCTACCTCCGGGATTACGTGGAGAGATTCGCCACGTTTGCCTACTAGCTATTCACCTGAGGATATCCTAAGTTGAAAGCTTTAACTTTTACCCGAGGCATTGAACTATTAGATCCACGGATGGCGCACAACGCTACTTATTCTTACCATTTAACCATTCATGAAAATCATAACTGCAAGTACATCATCTAGACAATGAATCCCTCCGGGAAATACAGAAAGAGGAATTACCAGCAAGCTATGCCTTAGCGGAAGGGGACCGACCAATCAGATGAACCAGAATAATTCCAGTCGACTGGATATCAAACGTCTTGAATCAAAATTTTGAGTCACAGCAGAACAAGCGCGGAATAGTGCCAGCTTCTTCTAAAAGCAATTAGCACAATTGAAATTAATCACATTTAGACTCTGTTTGACAGTTGATACACGATCGGAAAAGCACTGCACAGCCCTTCCATCCAGAACTACTAATTGTCAACACATGCCCTGTTAGGTTCGGACTGCTCGGGGACTTCGTCAGTCATCACTACAAGGTCGATTTGGCAAGCGTGGAGAATTTTACAGCCGGCAAAAATTTGTCCGCACGAACAGCACAGCCGCACGGAACAGCAGACGAAACAGAGGAAAACAGTAGTATGTATACACTCTTGAAACATGCTAAGAACGTACCGGAGTTGAAGTCCTGGTGTGCGCACAAACTGTAATAACGGACTGTGCATTATTTAACCACCTTTCACCAAAGTCAGCCTGTTTGCAACCGTATATTCAGTTGATTCGTCAACAGATTCGCGCACCAGCGTGTAAAACAGCACTCATCAGTCATAACTTTCCCTGACTGTTCTCATTCACCTGTATTTTTCGATTATGCCCTCTTTAGAACTAGAGATAATCGATTATCCAGAGAAAGCAGCATTAAAATCTAATGCTACACTTCTTGTTCATAGACTGCATACATTCCAACATTTTATGAAATCAACCGTTTTACTTGCGATGCATTTATCATCGCTTATTAGATGGAGCTTTCTGTAGATAGATAACTAACTATTAAGCTTGTGTTCTTAATAGGCTGTCGTAATACGTTAGGCAATTTTTGTCTAGCGCTCTAAAGGTGTCGAACGTTAGCAATGCTAGTGGACTTGAGCAAGATATAGTCAAACTAGAGCGTAAGTCTTATGTTAATCTCACTCAAGTATACACTAAGCTTAGGAGACTGCCGCGAAAGTGCGATAACATTCAGTCCAGTGCAGCAATGCTCGTCTATCAGGCTCCCGAGAGTCGAAATGTTATAACTGCCTCTTGGTTACGCTACGCGTTGACGATCTGGTATTAACTCTTCTAGTCGGCCGAAGGAATGTGCCTTGGAATTATTTCACGCACGACAGTAACCAACAAAATTCGAATTTGTACGACCCGTGAGACTTAGGCGCAATACGGTTACTAGGAGCGAGTTGAACAGGCTCCTAGTTGCCCAGTTGTGGCGACAAGGTTGTCGGCAATATAGAGAAAAACGCAAGCAAAACTGTGAACGACACTGCGTAATCATATAAATACATGTGGTGGGAAACGTCCAGACGACTCGCAGATGATTAAGGTCAGTGATCTTACGGCTCGCAGCAAAGTTCACACCACATGGGGCAGGCGACGTGCAATTGTCTGGTGCCCAGAGCGTGTCAGCCGCAACATCTGCGGGTTCCGACAAAATTCAGGGTTTGATGAGTGTTGAAATCGCTAGCACGTTTTCGGGCGATGTTCCAATCAAAGCTCGAGCAGCAAGGAAACAATGGTGCCTGAACCGACCAGATGGCACAACTAAAGAAAATTAACTAAAAGGTTCAACAGACGTCATTTGTCTGAAGGAATGGGTCGCCGTATCAATGCGTCTTAAGTGGCCCGCAGAACAAAACCTACATCAGCCGCTTGGCGTGTCATTTGTACCAAATCCACCAAGTTGAGCCGATAAAACAACGAACGCTCGTGCAATTTCGTGATCCCATGAATTCGTCCCAATCCATCAAGTATGACCACAGCTCTTAGAAAATAACGCGTAGTGTAACCAAGTGTTCGCCGCGAACTCCAAACATAAGCTGTCGCAGCAAGCAAGACACGTTCAAAAATTGCGTTAAAGTGGCGTCCATACCTGACAGGTAACACGTTCTGCAGACAAATAAACAAATGTGCACACTTCACAAGTTCGTAACAACCTACTGCACTTCCTTCGCCCACTTCGAACTCTTCTGATATTGGATCTAAACACCAGTACTCGCCACTTGCCAGATCCAAAGCAGCCGCAGCACGTAAACCCGTAAACGAACAAGTTTCCCGCATTTCGTTAGGACCGCTTGCAGTTATCGTAAAATTGTGTCGAATTTGGCGGTGTTGTGATCCTGAAGTCTAGTCCGAAAACACCAAGTCTCGAAGTGCAGTCTCCGCATGTGCTTGTATTGGGGCACTCCAGCATTACAAAAACTCGTGTGCAACAGGATGCTGATACGAGGTAACGAAGTGCGCTACCGACCTCCTTCTAGTGACGTAAACCATGAACCGTAGGATCATGTTTCTGGGTAGTTTCACTTCAGAAGAACGGGTGAAGTGAATTGCACGCCAACTCTTGTTGGCTGACAATCGGAAAATTAGCTCGCTTTCCCCCGGTGGCTAGATACAAGGCTATGGCAAGGGGTTTCGGGCGCGCAGTGGACTGGAACGCGGTGGAGTGGATTCTCCCTTCGGGTCTTCCCTGTAGACTATTATGTCCGTTGGAATGGTGTATGCGTTCCAGTACACGAGAAAACTAAAGACACCGAAGCACTGGTATGAGAAGCACTTTCCCTCAGAAAGGTCGCAAAAGTCGTAATCCAGACATCGTACTTTTGAGTGCACAATCCAACTACACCCAATTTCATATTTGACACGCCCACACATCGTGTGTAAATTCACTTGTTACGTACACGCCCACGATTACTGGGACCTTATTCTTCGCCTTTTCTTTGTATTCGCCTCCGCAGTCTATGTCGCCAGCCTCGGTGTAAAATTGTGGATTTGCGGCCATATAATCGCCTTTCTGCTGAATTGTAAAATTGCTCTGCTAAAGGCCAACCTACTCTTCTCGCGGGATGGGTGCACTGGTGGAAAGCGGTACACAGCACGAGTAGCAAGTAGTACCTTCCGTCTAGTTTCGCGAGTACCGACAAGTGTGTTACGGGAGGTCCGTATCGTTCGAGCCGATTAGGACAATCGCAGTGATCAGGCCGTACTACTAAGACACACGTAACTTATTTCGAAGGACCAAGTTAACCTAAGACGGACTCTCAGCCTGCTGAGACCTGTGTGATAGCAATATCAGTCATTCCAGGAGCACACATACGTATTGTACCACATGTTTGTGACCGAGTGGTCTGCGCGCCTGATTTGCAACCAAAACTGACCCTCCGTTAAGTTACCGGTTCGAATCCGTGTAGGGGTGGGCGTCCCCGAGGCATACTCAGCCCACGCGCGACTGATGTTGGTCGCGTGGCATCGGAGCGCCGTTACAGCGTACAGCTGGCGAAACATTTAATTTTATTTGCATATTTGTAATAATCACTCAAGTCAGCACTACCTGATACCCACTGTGATTTGATGTTCATCCGACATTTCGAATCATCTGTCGCTTGTGCTGCGTGATCTACATCTCCGTTAATAGAGTCCCGCAACCTAAGCCGATCATATTCGGGAGTACCAGAGGTCCCTGTGCTGCTCTGGCTCTAAATGCTCAGGTAAATCGGATATAATATTTAGTAAAGCAGACGTGCAAGTTTGACAAAACTTATCGCGGACATGGGGGTCGAAAAAACCATTCAAAACATAAGCACATTCACGGCAGAAATAAGCCGTTAATTACAGTGTAGCGTCGCAATGGAAATATTGAAATAACAAGCCCGGCCACAACCTCCAGGGTTTTGCGAAGAAACGGAATTACAATCAGTAACTTAAAAGTTGCAGATGTGCGACGAGGGAGAAGATACTTAGGATGCTAAATGTTGCGATAAGAACGGACAAATGACTCGTTCAAGAAAATTTTACTGGTGTATAAGATCATCAGTCCAACAACATAATAAATCACGGCTACAACTAGCTTGCGACCAGAAACGAATAACCAATATGCAAAATAAGTCGGATGACACGCACATTCGTGGTTGGAGAAAGGGAATAAGAGCAAGAAGGTGTAGAATTCATCGAAATGTGGTACAAATGACAAAAAATATCACATAGTGATCCTCAACAGCATGGAACAAAAGTATCCGTAAAAGAAAATGCCGGAACAGGGGCTTGGAGTAATCAACGAGAGCTTGGCTAAAAGCGAAAGAATGAACGTGAGAACAATTGGACAATTAGTAAGCGACAGAAAAAAGCAAAAACAGTGCCGATCGAATGTGAAATAGTTTACATAGAACAATTATTTTTACTCTCATTGAGTGAGATGAACTACTGTGGAGTGACTGAACTGGTCAGATGCAAATGTGATGCAACTGTGCACCATACACAAGGCCGTGTTAGTAGCTTTTATGGCGGTTAGGATAATTCATAGTATATAGCTATGTAAAGGAGCGATTGATCAACCATGCAGGCTGGAAAGCAAGGAAATTAGCTGCTTGCTGCAGATAGTGTGCGGGACCGAGTGGGCAATAATACATTGCTAGGTACAGTGCGAAAGAACTGCATAGGATATGGATGAATTTCGTACATCAAAAACTTAAAGCGGAGAAGTGTGGCACTGGAGTACAGGTACCGTAAAACGGATTGAAAAGTACAAGATCAAACCTAAGAGAAGTAAGACCCTTACAGATGTGTACATTGATGAGGTACATTGATGCACTCAATATTTTTAATGTGAAAACGGGGTGTAACGATAAAAAGTCATGGAGTGAAACGCTACTTACATCCTCGCTGGTTGTACATTCTTTCATTATGGATGAAACACGTGTCTTCATGGACCACGGAGTAGGAGCAAATGCGCCTAATTGCATGCAAAGTTCGTCTGGCATCACGCATCAGTTATTGATGAACGATGTTTTTGCGATCCAGTTGACGGCATAGATGAGAACAAATACGATTAAAGTGGACGGCAGAAGAAGAAGATAGTATAGCACTGTAGTCCATTCAAGCATTGCCGGAGGGTTGGGAGAATCAGTGGCAATTCAACACATGCAGACTACGAAAAAGAGGCCACGCGCTAAATGTCGTTACGAACCCAAAGGGTGATGTGCAGTAACTGGACGAGGCGATATGAATGTAGCAGCGAAGAAAGCGGAGTGCAGTCTGGGATGTGAAGTACCGGAAACAGGCTCCAGGTGCAGGTGGGGATATCGAACGGAAAGCCAGTCTCAGTGTTCACTTAACACATTTCTTGAAAACACCAATGACACGACAGTTATGCGACAACGAGGCCCTGACGAGCGGGAAACATAACAAGCGAACACAACACAGGCGCGTTCAGCAGATTGTAAGTCGGCAAAAAAGCCGCTACGACGCCGTTATGCATAAACCGCGTTGGTCTAAGGTCGCTGTAGCCATCGAGTCCGTTGATACATCGAGGGCCCGGCCCGTCAAGACCTATAAGAGTAAGAAAAATGACATTAAGGCAATTATTAGTTTAAACGATACAGAACAGTTAATAAACCGTTACTCGGCCCCCACTCCAATCGAGGCGCCCGTCATCAGTGTCGGCATACTCACTAAATTGTGGATAAAGTAATCAATTAATAATATCACACTGCGTTCCAATATTGGGAGGCAGGCAGGTGATACAGGCCTAGAAAGGCTAAAGACAACAGTGACCGCACTACGCCGGTACATTGTGTCCGGCACGAACGTCAGCAGTCGCGTACGGGTTAGGAGCACTGAGGGATCTCCGCAACTATGCAAGTTCGAACCGGCGACATGTGGATTGCAAGCTACACGCCTAAACCACTCGAGCAATGGTCGGCGATAGCCTAGAATGAATGGGAAGATAAACAGTCAATTAAGCGATCGGACTGGTGGACCAGAAGAGAAATCAGTCACATCGAGTAGTTCTGGCTGGAAATGCGTGGTGTCAATAGAGACCCGCCATCCGCGGACCCATCAGAATGTGTAGCAGTGTACACTCTCGGATAGTCTGAGGCCGGCTGAGGGTCCAGTGCAGCAGTGGTAATTCTGTCACCACCACTGGACACTCAGGAGTCCAGGACGGGACTCTATTAAGGCGGAAGGTATTTTTGAATAAATAAACTCCGACAGAGAAATAAAGGGTTTATCTTTTATACATTCTGGCAAATAATTTTTACTTTATTTACTAATACTGCATTTTTGCAGCGTATAGTTCATGCAAATATAACTACTTGCATTTCACACTTTTTTTGTTTCTCAATCGTTACGTAGGCGCATAGGAATGCGAAGTGAGTGTTTGCACGCATGCAACCTGTAAGGCATAGTTGTTTGCGTGCGTACTAGTTTGTCTGCATCTCAAAACCGTTTTCCCGCGTATTTTGTCCTGGTTCTCTTTCCTGCGTCCAAACTTTTCTAGTTGGTACTCCAATAGGACTCTAAACGGACGCCCGTTGGATGTTCAACGGAAACCCAATGGACTCCCAACGGGCACTCGTGTTGACATGGAAGGTTTCAATAGTGGAGTGGTATTTAAAACACTTGAACATCTTATGCTTTCACTCTTACTGAACAAAGAATCTAAAGCGGTCCCATACTAACAGTGATTGGACTTACCATACTGATACTGTAGATAACTTGAGGTTTAGTTACCATGCAGTCGTAGATCGAAGGACTGTAACTTACTGATCGAATAAAATCAACTTCCGCAAAAAGGCGGATGCGAAACTCGTGGAGTTTATCACCACAAGTAACATGCTCAAAAGTGTAAGCTGTTGTCGCCAAATCTCCGAGTCTGTGACAACCGTGAGAGCAGGCGAAGCACTTGCTGACGTTCCCTTTTGCAATGCACAAAGCCAAACAATCTGCTGCTGAGAGTGACTCGCACATATAATACCGTGCTCGCAGAGCACCGTACGCAAGTATAAGAAGCTATTGGTTTTCCCTTGGAAAAAAGTTGCCGTGTGGTCAACAGCTGCTCCAACAGAGCGGTAGACACTAACTTGATGGAGTACGGACAAAATGCATTATATTTGTTAACAAGTGACTGGGCATGGAAGGCCAAATAACCTCTCAGACGGTCAGAAGCAAGCGAAAGCATCAGAATGCGAGTCCGAGAAATTAACTTCCGACTAGAGCACCAAAGATTGAGAGGGTTGATGTTAGTTTAATTCGCTCCTGATTAATACTCGTATCCTGCTTGCGATGTCAAATGTTTACCTACAATAAACTTGGATATAAAAGATCAGTAAGCAAGGGTAAAGCCAATATCATCATTATTATGTACGTCAGCAAAAGTCGTGAAGCATCTCAGCTACTGTGCCGCGACACAATTCGTCGGGAATGAGAACTTGATTGGAGGGGAAATTAAGTGAAAAAGGAGGGGAAGACCCATAACACAAACGCGACTCTTCGCCTGGTCAACAACTGTTTCTAAGCAAACGCGATCATCGTCCTTCAGACCTTTACAAGGGAGTCGCGAGGCCACAACCGAGGTCAAATTCAAAGTGTGAGCCTACATTCCTCTTGACCAAGTCATCGGCAGGTCTTCTTTCTATCCATTCAGATACATGTAGTGCAAACGCATACTGCGTCTGAGTGAAATAGTGGTGCTGAGCGGTTCACTTCCTACGCCAAAAAGGACGGCTAGCACGTTCACTGCCGAAGCAGTTTTCTCATCAGATTTGAGCTAAACTTCGAAGGCGCTGATGATCCAATGTAAATAGCCTCTTTAGGGTGGTAACACTAAATGAATAACAGTGACAGGAGATCTAGAAGGATAAGCAATTGGAACCTGAGATGATCAGGGCCAGTCTCCAGTGACCGAACGTAAGCCTTGCTACGGCAAGGCCAGATTGCCCACGAGGTCATCAGTAAATCAGTAGGAAACCGGAATCATTAGTAATCATTAATAAACCGGAGCACGGTTGGAGTACTTTGTCTAACGATGACCTTAAATGATACCTGAGGGTTTGTGCGCATCGCAATCGAGCCGCACTCAAGAAACCGAACTGACACCTAGACCCGTTCACTACTAAGCCTGGGGTAATATGCTCCTGGTGGAAAGCTTTTCTTCAGTTCCACGAATGTACATGCTGCCGTAGGTACAGTTAAACTGATAAATACAAGCACTAACTTAGGAGAGGTCTATCTAAGTTGGCTTCATGCAACTACTTCCCGGTTAGCTCAGCTCTACAGCAGGTATTTTGATATGGAATATGGTAGCCGATGACAAAGCCTTTTGTGGTCTTTTTCTCCTTTGAAGGGTAATGTAATCGACACGCTATCATCAGCAGATTGGGTTGCATGAATGAGATGACTGTTTGGGTCACGATGTTACATCGGATCCGCTGAGTAGTAAACGAGCAGCTTTCTAGACGAAGGGTGTGCTCTTGCACCTGATGCTGCGGTCCGCGCCTCTCCTATGAAGCCAATAAATTAAAACCCACCGGTCGTCGATGGCACGACTGGCTGGTCTCCTAACATCTGCAAGTACAGCGGCAAAGCTGCAGACTCACTTGAACAAACCAGTTATAAGTAGCTATTTCCCAAAACCTAACTCCAACTGTTCTGCAGTGCAACGTCGGGTGAGAAGTTCGTTCTGAGGTGAAATACAGCCTTGGGCCAGAACTCACGATCAAAGAACAATTAAGCACGCAAGTGGTTACCGCCTGCTAGAAGTCGATTGATGATTCTAAGCTGTAAATCCGATTGCTTGGAAAAATGAGGCAGCATTGTACACACAAACAGTACCTGTATTATGCGTCCGGTCGAGTATTCCAGGGGTTTCCGTGTCTAATGGGTAGGTTGGTTGCAATAGGCTTGTGGGTTACAATACGAACAAACAACTCGTACGAGGTTGGATGGAATTATCCCAACTACATAGTAAGAAACCACACTAAGCGAAACGTGAAGGTAACATGAAGGGGAAGCCTCAGTGACCGTTTAAACGAGATACAACGATCTCCATACCTTAGACATCACTAAAATATCACCCTCGGACTTGCTACATAAAAATCTATGTTGACAGGCGCTGTCCTCAGCGCCCATGGAAGCCCTAGTCGGTCTGGACTCGCCGATCTGTAAAAGGACTGGTGAGCGCGGTGTCCTAGGTTCAAGATATTCCGCGACAAGCGGTGTGGCCATAGGAAAGCTAATGATCGCCTCAATGGCAATGTTCCAGGCTCACAGACTGCTGTCGGGAACAGGTAGGGACGCCAAATTCGTAGTATTCGTCCGGTCGAGGATTCTAACGACTTCCGTATCCAATGGGTACATTGGTCGTAATAGACTTAGTGTATGCAATGCAAACAAATACTTCATCGGAGGTTGGATGGAGTTATGTCAACCACCTAGTAAGAGACCACACTGAACAAAACGTGAGGTTGGTCCATCGCAATGAGGCCGGATGGTTTGCGTGCCTCGAAAATCTATTTAGCTGGGCTGGATGGTGCCTTTTGCACCAGAGCCACTCACACCAGATCGGTCAATGGTTAGAGGCCAGACAAACTCATTCTCCTGGTCTTCCAGGTTGAGGATTGGAGTGACGGTGACTCCATTTTCCTTGGAACGAACTCCCTGTATCATACTACTAAACTCGCTGCCTTGCAAATAAATTTTTGAACTAAAGGTTTAGGTTGAGAACGCTAATCGTTCTCCTGCCTAGGCCTGGGAAACCTGACAGTATCCTGCCCATGCAATACTATGAACTCTCCCTTAAACAATTTCTTGGTGCTCTTTCCGTCACAGAGAATAACCAACGGCCCTATCTGCTGCATCGAGCAGGGTAGATAGGGGTTTGGATCCTACACCTCAAGTCTTCCCGTCTCCTTATTCCCCCTCTTACACTTGTTCACCCTTATCGTCCCGTTCCAACTTCACGTTTATCCCCCTGCTTACAACCCCCA